GAGCCCGGCCGCAGGACCTCGGTGTCCCGGGAGCCCGGCCGCAGGACCTCGGTGTCCCGGGAGCCCGGCCGCAGGACCTCGGTGTCCCGGGAGCCAGGCCACAGGACTTTGGTGTCCTGGGAGCCAGGCTGTAGGATGCTCGGTGTCCCGGGAGCCAGGCTTGTAGGATGCTCAGTGTCCCGGGAGCCCAGCTGCAGGAACTTGGTGTCCCAGGAGCCCGGCCGCAGGACCTCGGTGTCCCAGGAGCCTGGCCACAGGACTTCGGTGTCCTGGAAGCCAGGCTTGTAGGACGCTCGGTGTCCCGGGAGCCCAGCCGAGTGACTGACCCCACCAGACACTTGGCTCTGTGTGCACAGGAGCAGATGGTGTGCAGATGCCCTGCGGTAAACTCTCCACCCAGAAGCTATCGAGACGCACAGCAGGCCACCAGAACCCGGGAGTGGAGACAACAGAGCGGCCCGTGGTGGGGAGACCGGCAAGTGTCCACATGTGCACACGGGGGGGCCAGGCCTCAGGGAACCTTCCGTCCTAGTCCAGTTTCCAGCGTTGAGCCTTCCCCCCGGGGTCAGTGGCGTCGGGGCTGAAGTCAGTACAGAGGCCATTCGGGGTCGGTGCTGACGGGGTCTGGGCGCAGCTCTCAAACCGTGCCTGGTCGGGGTAGAGATAGTCCTCGGCGAAGTCAGGGTACAGATCTGTAAACCTGGTGAAGTCAGCTGGGAAGACAGAGGCACCGCGGTTAAGGGGATGATGAGGCTCGGATGTCAGCTGCCAGGCTGCCTTTCTCATCTCTCACCAGGCCAGCACTGCCTCAGGGAGGGATGGGGCAAGGAGGAAAGGCCCGAGGAGGGAACAAGAGCGTGCCCCTCGTTCTCTGCCAGCACAAAGTCACTGAGAAATTCAGGGCTGTGCCCCTGTCCTTCTACCTCCCGCTTCGAGGAAAATGAAAAGGTTGTGATACCTGATTAGAGGACATACAGCCTGGTTCACTTGATCCAGGCTGTTGTGGGTTTGCTAACAAACAGACTGGCAATCTGAAAACGGATGGACCACATCCTTTGGGCATGGTGCGAGGGGAAGTAAGTCCTTGGAGAGGGACATGATGCTTGGAAAGGTGGAGGGATAGGAAAGAGAGGAAGACCCTTGACAAGACAGATTGACAAGGGGACTGCACAATGGACTCCAGTGTGTCGGGAGGTGTGAGGATGGCACAGCACACGAGAGGGTCCAGATCTATTGTTCACAGGGTCACAGTGAGTTGTACTGGACTTAACAGCACTTAAGCACCATAATCATGAGTGAGAATACGGTAGTTAAGAGTTGTTTGCTTTTAAAACATATATGCGAGCTCTAGCAGCCTAGTGGCAAGAAGCGGAGCTGCAGTCCCAAAGACACATGTTTCGAGGCCACCAGCTGCTTCACGGGACAAGGAGGAGTAATGTCCTTCCGTACAATTAACTGCCTCTGAAAACCTGCTGGAGGGTCAGCTATGGGTTGGTCCCCACTCGACGGTAAACAACAACAACAACATACGCAAGCCAACCTACTGCTGTCAGGTAATCAATCACTGGTCCTGTAGGACAGAGTAGAACAGCCCATTTCCCTAGGCTGAAATCTTTACGAGGGTCTTCAGTGCTAATTAAAAGGTCAGAGGTTCAAATCCACCAGTCGCCTAGTGGGAGAAAGATGTCACGCCCTGGCTTCTGTGAAGACTGTTGCTGTGTACTGATGAGTCGAAAGCGACCCATAGCTGAGCCTCCAGCGAGTTTTCAGAGGCAGTAAATTGCCCGGGAGAAGATCTGCCCATCCTTCTGCCGCAGAGAGGCTGGTGGATTTGAACTGCATGCCTTTGGGTTGGTGGTGTAATTCCTTACTACTAAGCCATTCAATGGCATCAGCAAGAGTGGCATCCACTTCCTAAACAACCTGCCTCCGGAAACTCTGGGCACTTTGATAAATGTCGATAGTTATAGAAAGGCTTCAGGCCTTTTGTTCATAGGGTCGCTTGATGAGTCCTGCTTGACTCGATGGCAATCGACGACAATAAGCCATCAGAGTTCCCTGTCATAAAGGTTCCAGCCTCAGAAACCTGAACGGGCTGGCGTATTCTGTCCTTCACGGTTCCTGGGTCTGAATCGACTGGATGTTCCAGCACCAGACTGTCACATCAGGATTCTCAGTGTTCTGGCAAGATGTGATGTAATCACCCTCCTTGCTGTGACAGATGTGAGCAGCCTATGAGGTGGAAGGGGCGTTTCTTCAGGCACGTGACCTGCACTTGCTAGATCTGAACTTTGTTGCAAAGTCTGCCTTGAGGCTCCATCTGACCCGACACACTCTGACTTCTAGTTCTGGGGATGGGAGCCAGCAGCCTGCTGTCTGACCTGTCAACTCTGGGTCTGTCAGTCCCAGCAGTCACGTGAGCCACGAAGCCAGCAGCCTGACACCTGACCTGCCAACTCTAGGTCCGTCGGGCCCTATGCTCATGTGAGCCAGGAAGCCAGCAGCTTGCTGCCCGACTTCCCAACTTTGATGTGTCAGTCCTTGTAGTCAGATGAGCCAGGAAGCCAGCAGCCTGCCTCCCGGCCAGCCAACCCTAATCGGTCAGTCCTTGCAGCCGTGTGAGTCAGAAGAACCCCCCAGCTTGATGCCTGACTCACCAATCCGGGACCTGCCAGCCCCCACAAATGCATGAACAACTGCCTTGGTAGAAATCTTGCTTTGTGTTCACACACATTTGCTGGTTCTGCTCCTGCGGGGAGCCCAGCCTGGGACAATCACACTGTGGAAGGCAGGACAGTGAGCGCGTGGAGGCTGACCAGTTGAGGGTCTCCACCCTGCGCCTGCGCCTGTCCGGGAGGTGTGTGCTGCTGTGTCTCAACGTGGTTGCTTCAGGGCCAGGAAAGGTGTTTTGAGGACAGGGGGCTGGTTGTAGCCAACTACACTACAAGGCTCTGAAAAACTTACGACTGAGGGGCACCTTGTGGGCAAGCCTGAAAGAGCCCCACTGGGGACAGTCCATGTTAGGCCAGCACTCAGTACAAAGGTTAACATACAGCCAACCACACATGGAAGTGCTGTCCACTGTTAACAAGTACAAAACAAACACGTGCACGTGTACAGACATAAGCCCCCAAGTATACACACTACACACACACACATAGCACCATATGCACACACGTTCACTGCCACAGACAGACTCTCACTCCTTATATACACACCACACATAACCATCTACACACACTCACTCCCCACATACAGACACACAGACTCTCATTCCTCACAGACATGCCACAGATACACACATACACATTACACATGTTCCATGCAGGTACACACAGACAAACACACATAAAACACACCACACATGCATATACCAGACACATACGTGCTACAGAGAGACACGCACAACACACTCTCATAATAAACCCGTACAAGTGCAGCACACCCCACACGTATCCCATATACACACATACGAGACACCACAGACACATATGTATAAATACCACACAGACACACAAGACTTTCACACAGGCCTGCATGCATCAGATCATATAGGGGGACTCTGTGTGTGTGTGTGAAAACTAGGTACTGCATCTTACCCGGATCTCCACAATGACCCCTCCACTTCCTTGATCATACTTTCTCCTGATGAAAGGGGTTGCAGTGATGACAGTACAGATTCATTCTGAAGTGGGTGTGCTGTGGTGGTGCTGGTGCGTGACGGTGGGGTAAACTGCAGTGTGGACGTGTGGGTGAGTGGAAGAAGGGGCGTGGGGCCATGTAGGCGTGTGAGGGGTGTGGGTAACTGAAGAAAGGGGAGTGTTGTAGTGTGGGTGTGTGAGGTGTGGGTAAGGGAAGGTCTGTGTGACACTGTGAGGTGTGAGTGGAGGAGTGTGTGGCAGTGTGGGGGTGTGAGGTGTGGGTACATAACGGTGTGGATGACTGGAGGGGTGTGTGGCAGTGTGGGGGTATGAAGTGTGGGTGACTGAAGTGAGGGGTGTGAGGTGTGGGTACATGACGGTGTGAGTGACTGAAAGGAGGAGTGTGTGAGGTGTGGGTGACTGAAGGGAGGGGTGTGTGTGACAGTATGGGTACATGATGGTGTGGGTGAGTTGGGGGACGGCTGTGTGACAGTGTGGGTACATGGTGGCGTGGGTGACTGAAGGGAGGGGTGTGTGAGGTGTGGGTACACGCCTGTAGTGCAGGTGCCAGTGACAACAATGGGACAATTCGGGATGAAGAGACACCATGCCTGGGAACCTGCTGGGACCCCGTGAGTTGCCCTCAGGGCGGGGCAAGCACTGACCACAGCCCGGGGGGACAGAGCCTACAGCGGCTCTGAGCTCAGGACTGGCTGGAGCTGGGGTCCATTCACGTTCTGGAGGAGCGAGGTTCGAAGAACCTTACCCACACCTGCCATCTTCCTGGTGGACACTCCTCAGAGGAGGGGAAAGGGGTGGCCTGGTGAGGATGGGGGGGGCTAGCCCCCTGTCCCTGATCGCCACTGGGGACACTTTAACCTCTTCCTGGCCCTATAGGATCACTCACCGAAGGAGATCCGTCCTCTCTCGTCTTCGTCGATGGCTCTGAAAAGGTCCGTCACGGGGAGCTCGGCCACGCCCAGGGCTGTCTTCAGGATACAGGACAGGTCGTCCTCGTCGATACGGCCGTCCTCGGCCGACGCGTACATCTGCAGGACACACAGACATGAGTGCTGGCTGCTCGGGCCAGGTCAGGCTCCTCACAGGACTCTCCCAGCTCTCCAGAGGCCTGCGCCCACCCACTGACCACCAGGACACCCCTCACATGACCACCTGAGGAAAGAGGGGCTCCTAGGGCAGGACACATGCAGAGTCCACAGTCACAGAGCGTGGACAGGACACAGTCACACCCACAATCACAGATCGTGGACAGGACACACGCACACCCACAGTTACAGAGTGTGCACAGGACACACACACACCCCAGTCACAGAGCGTGGACAGGACACACGCACACCCCCAGTCACAGAGCGTGAACAGGACGCAGTCACACCCACAGTCACAGAGCGTGGATAGGACACACGCACACCCAGTCACAGAGCGTGGATAGGACACACGCACACCCCCAGTCACAGAGCGTGAACAGGACGCAGTCACACCCACAGTCACAGAGCGTGGACAGGACACACGCACACCCACAGTCACAGGGCGTGCACAGGACACATGCACACCCACAGTCAGAGCATGGACAGGCCACATTCACAGAGCACCCATGGTCACAGAGCACGGACAGGACACAGTCACAGGGCACCGGTGGTCACAGGACACCCAGTCACAAAGCGTGGACAAGACACACCCTAGTCACAGAGCATGGACAGGACATAGTCACAGGGCACCCAGTCACAAAGCGTGGACAAGACACACCCTAGTCACAGAGCATGGACAGGACATAGTCACAGGGCACCCAGTCACAGAGCGTGGACTTTTCAGCAAGGACACTCTCCCACAGGGCTGTGCTGTGCTCTCTCGGGCCTGCCCCCACCCCTTCGTGGGCATGCAGCACAAACTTCTTTATCTAGGGACTCCAACTCCACGGATCCTATCACCTTGGGTGAGGGTCCTACGACAGGTCACACCTCCAACTTGTGCTCAGACCTCCTGTGTACCTTCTTCCCAGGCCCCTGATGCAGCCCGGCTCACTTACTAGGAGCCCCAAGCACCTGGCTACAAACACCACCTCCGTCAGCTGGTGACCCCGAAATCCTGCGTTGGGCGTCACGCTACCTCCCATCTTCAGACTTCCCAAAGCAACACTCTCTGCACAAAAGCCGCTGGGAACCACTGGAAGCCCACAGCTGCCCAAAGCCCAGGCCATTTCTCTCTGTGCCCAGCTTTCTACCCCACCCCCAACAGGTGTGGACAACCTCGGCCTTCTGCACCACCTAGTGGCCACATGGCTGCATCACAGGGGCCTTGACATTTTGAGGGGCAGTCGGGGGTTGTGTGAGGTGCCCTCTGGTTGACTATGCCGTATAGCGACTCTGGGAACAACTGATCTGGACCCTGCCCTATCCTGTGCCATGCTCATCATCTCTGATACACTCGGGCCCGCGTCACAGTCACTGTCCAGTCACTCTGTCAGTCTATCTCATGGAAGACCTTCCTGTCCACTGACCCTCATCCCAAGCGTAACGGCCCTTTCCAAGGACTGGCCTCTTACGCCACATTCCTCAAGTTTGCGAGACGGAGTTTCCCCGTGCCACGAGGTGACGCTGGGTCGGAATCAACCTGAAGGCACACGAGGGACAGATCCTGGAGGTGACCCACCAATGTCACCCCACTCCTCTCGGGGTCACGAGCGCTCTGACAAGTCCTGTGGCCACAGCAGGCACATGCTCGTCCGGCAAACCCCACCCTGAAAAGGCTCCCAGGCCTGATGGTCTGTGTCCTGGGGCAACAGACCGAACAGCAGCCAGGCCGCTTGCCAATGGTGACGCTGTGTGGAGTAGGGGGAGGTGGACACCGGAGGGTGTGATCGGGAGGAGGGTGGGAGCCTGACCCCGTCTGCAGACAGCCTGGTGGGGAAGCTGGAGGGATCCCGGGGCAGGGCTAGAGGGGTCCCGGGGCCGGGCCTTCCAGGGTGGAAGGAGGTGAAGGTAAGTGAGGCCGCAGGGAAGCTGTGAGCTCCCCGACAGGCCGCCCAGCCCAGCATGGACAGCAGCACCAGGTTTCCCGAGATGGTGCCACCAAACAGTCACATCGTGTGGTTAATCCACACACACGTCACCAGAGGGCTGCGGCTGGACATCAGGGCTGCGGTGGAGGCCACATACTGAGAACGGGAAGAGGGAAGGCGTTCCCCAGCGGCAGGAAACGAGCAGGCTCGCTCCAGTGTCAGGCTTTTGAGTCGGGCTAGTGTGAGTCATCCCTGGAGAAGTCACGCTCAGGAGGAAGACAGACCCTGGACCTTCCCAGGTCTGAAGGGGCCAGCTGACGCTCCCGTGGAGGCCAGGACTCCGTCACTCCCACAATCCTTGTATCCTGCTGTCCAGGGGACATCAGCTGGGCTTTGGGTTGCCCTGGGTTCTACGCAGAGGCAAGAGTCATGCTGACCAGAGCAAGAAGCGGGGGTCCTGCGGCCCGAGGGTGCTCAGCATTCCAGAAGTGCCCCCTCTGTGCCTTCACTGTGACCTCACCACTGTTAATCCTGGGGACACACAGACTCTTGGAAGGTTAAAAACAAAGCTGGTCACAGCATGAGTGGAAATAGAAGGTCGGTGAGTAATACATTCACCGACTGTGTCATAAAGAACTAGGTTGTTCTGGGGGGGCTGTCAAGGAGCCCGAGGCGGACAGTGGTGAAAGGGCTTGCCTGCTGACTTCCAGGTGAGCGGTTTGAACCCACTGACCTGCTCCTGCAAAGCTGGCAGCTCTACTGTCCTGCAGCGCCACCATGAGTCAGAATCGTCTCACTGACATCGGATTTGGTTGCTGTCTGGGGAGGTGACCGCCCAGTCATTAGAGCTTCCTGAGTGGTCGCAGGCACTGTTGTTAGGTACCATCCAGTTGGAAGCGACCCTCCAGTGGGGTTGCAGAGATTGTGAAACGCACCGCCCTGTCTCGCTCCCCTGGAGCAGCTGGTGGGTTTGAACCGTGTGCCTTTAGTCTGGCAGCCCAGCTCTTTACTATAAGCCACCGGAGCTCCCCATCACCCGCCTGCAGGTTCGTGCCGAGGTGGCGGGGCTCCTCCACATGGTTAGGAGGCTAGGGCTCTGCTCTGTAAGGCACTGCCGAGCTGGTCCGACTCCCACGTCCACCGCAGACAACAGACGGACACCCAGACCGATGCCGCTCCATCCTCACCAGCTGTCACGCTCGGTCCCGCTGCCGCAGTCACCGTCAGCCCGTCTTCCTTCTCGCTCGCTCACCCTCTACCTGGCCCAGCATGGTGGTTTTTCCCACTGTCACTTCCTGACGACATACCTAGAGTCTGTCATGTGCTCAGGCCTCCAGGACAAGGAGGGGCCCTGGTAGCCAGACCCCGTAAAAAGCGGAGGTTGTGGCTGCGGCTTGGCGCGCTCCTGGCTGTCAATCTTGTGCACCTGTGACACAGCAATCCTCCTGGACGGTGACATGTCCCCAGGGATACAGACCTTTCAAAGTGGGGCCCTCTCAGCTCTGGCCCCAGACACCCCCTTCGGCTGGCTCTGATCTATCTTTGCCGTAATCCAAGGCAGGCATGAGGATGGTATGTCCTGTGTTCTGTGGGCAACTCTGGAGGACAGTCTCCAAGGAGGAGGTCAGAAGTGGGAGGAGGCCCTGGACCCTCAAACTTGCAGCTAGTGCCCGAGGGGAGTTCACACAGCCTTGCGGGGGCTCTGTCCTGAGCTGTACATCAAGCCAGGGAGCAGTGCATACAGGACCCACCTCTCATGGCCCTTCCCCACTTGCCTTAAACGCCAGCTGGATGGTGGCCAGCGTCTGCGAAGGCCTGCAGACGACAGACAAAGCAATCACGTACTCCCGCAGGTCCATCTTGCCGTCGCCGCTCTGTGGGAAAAAGACGGCCTCGGGTCACTGGTCGCCTGGACTGAGAACTCAGGGCTGGGTGGCGATTAAAGGATTAACGGGCAGCTCAGTCATCACATGAAATGGAAAGAGCCTTCGGGGGTGCACACAGAGTTAGTATCCCGGCTGCATCCACACGCAGGCTGGCCAAAGGGCTGCGGGTGCTGGGCCAGAGCACCCCAATAAATCCACACGCAGGCTGGCCACAGAGCTGTGGATGCTGGGGCAGAGCACCCCAATAAATCCACACGCAGGCTGGCCCCAGAGCTGAGGGCACTGGGCCAGAGCACCCCAAGAAAGGGATTATTGCAATAAAGCAAGGATTGCAATTAAAGAGTCACACGATTAAAAAAATGAGTACAAGCTATGTTGACACGGTCGCCCAGTTTCTCAAGTGTGACACAGCATCATGAAACTGTTCTAAAAGCTGTAAGAGCATAGACACCCAAATGAGCACCTGTTACTGGAGAAACAGCACCAACAGACACACACGGTGGCCACAAACCTCAATTTGTTACTGCTTCAAACAAGACTAGTTGATCATCTTATAGTTCGGGAGGCCAGAAGCCTATAATAAATCTCACTGAGTAAAAAAAAAAAAAAAAAACAAAAAAAACAACCAAAACCCAAAACTAAACCAAAACCAAAACCTTCCACTCTTTGCCGTTACGCTGGACCTGATTCCTACTCGACCCTCCAGCTGGTGTCAGAGGCTGTAATGTGCATGTGAGGTGACTGCCCATCTTTCTCCACAGGTGGAGCTGGTGGATTCAAACCACACACCTTGGGGCTGGCAGCACAACTCCCTATCCACGAGGCCACTGGAGCGCCCTTGATGTGTTAAACACACACGGTATCTGTGAAGTGCACTAAAGTGAGGTACGTGTATGTGTTTGGGGGCCACGATGGTTAATTTTTCAAGTGGGTGGGTTAGAAGTGCAGGAGTCACTAGGTGGCGTGAACAGACGTAAACAGTTAAGTACTTGACCTCTAGCTGGACAGTGGGTGGTTCAAATCCACCCAGCGATGTGGCAGAAAGGTCAGAGCCCCGTGGAGCATCTGCACATACAGCATCACTGGAGTCGGACTGACTCCCTGGAAACCCCAGGGGCACCCGACACCACGTGAGGCATCTCAGTGGAGCAGACCGAACCCAAACCCGCTGATTCACAGAATCCCCATGTTTCAATACGCCCATCAGCTGCCACCTTCTAAGTAAGGCTTCTGCTTTAGAAAGCAGACCTGCCAGCATCGACTCTCCTATTTGGATGATGTGAGAATCTTATCCGTCTATGGGGAGGTACCGAGCTCTGGTGCCTTGGTGGTAAGGATTTGCACTGCCAACCCAAAGGTGGCCTGTTCGAATCCACCAGCTGCTCGATGGGACTGAGACTTCCCAAGATGAGGACCAAGGCCTCACCTCATCAAAGAGCGAGAACATGCCCTCCAGCGAGTCGGACACGGGCACCTCCAGGTACGCGGCGAACTCAGACAGGCCGACCTTCTCACCCCGCTTCAGCTTCGCGCGCTCCGAGTACTTCTCCAGGTCCTTCTCCAGCTTCTCCGGCTTTAGCCTGGGTGGAAACAGAGAGGGAGGTTGTTTCTATAACCTACAGGTGAAATGACAGAATGCCGAAAAACAGGAGAGTTACTGCTGTTTACTTTAAAAGCAGAATACGGTATTAAGAATGCATAACAGAATGCACACCTATGTTTATCGTGGCTTTGTTCACAATAGCAAAGAGCTGGAAACAACCCAAGTGTCCATCAACAAACGAATAGCTAGAGAAGCTCTGGTATATTTACATGATGGAGCATTGAAAAACAAGGAACTCATGCAATATTATTCAAAATGGGTGACCCTGGAGAACATTATGCTGAGTGAAGTATCTCAGTGACAGAAGGACAAATATTGCATAGGACCACTGTTGTAAAATGAGACTGACATCAGGGTTGAGGGAAGACAGAAAAAGAGGGGAGGAAAGATGTACATTGCATTGAAACAGATGAGGGAGAGAACTGTTTAAAAGGTACATATGATTGGGTATTCTTGTCATGACAGAAGTCCAGAGTGAAGGCTGCACAGTGGAGTGGACTTGGGGGAAGGGATTGCCTAACAATGAAAGAGTTTTTCTTTTTCTTTTCAAGGAGAAGAGTGAATTGGGGGGAGGGTGTGGGTAGGGAGAAAAGGGCAATGACTGGAAACCCTATGTCTCTGTAAATTTTCATTAAAATTAATTTTTTTAAAAAAAAGAATGCATAACAGAACAAGCAGTGAGTCTTCTTTTGGTGGTCTGTCTGCACTTGCTGTCTTTTTCTGAGCTTTGATTAGGTGTTTGGGGGCCCTCCCACCACTGTGGATTCAGGCTTGGCCAGCAGGGGCCGCTGTGGGCACTCTGCTGGGGCCTCTCCCTGATGTTGTCAGCTCCTGGGAACAGGCCCGTTGGGGACCCAGGAAGGAGGCAGGGCTGGGGTTTAGGGTGGGGAACTGGATGGGTGAAAGGGAGGCTGCCATGGCCTCCAGACCAGCCGGAGCCTAGATCACTGCGTGTCAATGCACACTGGCCCTGACATGGTGGCGGCTGGCCCCGGCTGTGGTGGTTCCGTAGAGGATGGCACTGCCCAGGAACCTGCTGTCTGCCTCAAGACTGACCCTGACTCGGTGAACTTGGTCTCCTTCTGGAAGTAGACAGCCCTTTCTTCTGAGGCATTGCTGAGCAGACTTCTCTGGTTAGTGGCTGGGTGAATTCACTGTTTGAACCTCCTTGGATCCCACTGTGGTTTGGGAATCCATGTTCCCTTCACATTCCCTGGGGAACTAGGGTTTCTCCACTGGGAAGCCCAGGTCTGGCCCAGCTCAGATGGGACAGGAAGTTACAGCCTCAAAGCCGCCACAGCGTGTGATGGGCCGTCTTTCGCTAACAGTTCATGAACAAGTGGTCGGGAACTCACCCAAGGCCTCGCACGAGCCTTGCAAATTCCAGAAGGCAGGTGTCGGAGGGGAGTCGGAGCTGTCCTTCTGCCAAGGCCAGCTGGCAGTCCTCGAACGTGTAATCAGTGACAGAGACGCCCAGGGCCCTGCAGAAGAGAAGAGCGCCTCCAAAGGTCAGCCTGCTCAGTGCAGAGTGTCTCACCCAATCCAGTGAAGCTCAGGGAAGCCCAGGATGGGGACACCGGAAGCACAGAAGGAGATGGCTCCCCTAGACGTGTGCAGAGGAGCCCTGGGCCTGCACCCTGAGGAACAGGGCAGCAGCCACTGAGGGCGAGCCAAGTAGGAGGGATTCAGGCAGGACGACTGTGTGGTGGGCTCTGGTCAGCACAGCCAGCCACAAGCCCACGGCTGTGAGCGGTACAGGGTGGGGTCACAGATACCCCAGTGCAGACCCCAGAGGCTGAGCAGGCCTGACATAGGAGGAGGGTTCGAGTGGCTTCCTCCACGCAGCAGGATCCAAGACACAGCTTTGCTTGCAGAGCAAAGGTTGGTGCTTTCTGTGAGATTTCAGTGTTTCCATTCTGTAGTCCACACAAAATAGTTTTCCTTTAAAAATTGATGTATTTAGAAATGCACTTCCTCTGCAGGCGTCCAGCGTGCTTACGTCTGGAGTCTGTGAATTCCTACAGTGCTTGCATGGGCGGTTCTGAAGTGGTTCAGGGGCTTGTTCTATACCGTCCGTGGAACAAGGGAAAAGAAATTTCAGCCAATGGGGGGTGCGGTGGGGGGTGGTGGGGAAGAAGGCACTTCCTATGGGAGCTCTTCATCCTACTTGGATCCACAGTCAATGTGCACTTGGTATGAGAAGTCAGGAGAGGTATTTTACTGAGAAAGTCAGTGGTTAGGACCTCTCCAAATTACTGAGGAGCAATGATGTCACTTGAAGGACTAAGGTGTGCCTGTTCAAGAGCATGGTCTTTTCAATCACTTGCTGTGCTTGTGAGAGCTAGACAGTGACTAAGGATGATAGAAGAATCAGTATTTGAGCTGTGGTGTTGGCGAAGAGTACCGAATAGTCCAGCGACTGCAAAAAGAGCAAACAAACAGGTATGGTTTGGAGAAGCTGCAGCCAGAGCGCTCCTCAGAGCATCGATGACAAAGCAAAGATGCATGGACACAATTAGTACAAAGAACTAATAGGCCATGGCAACGGCAATGTCAACCTCCATGACGCTGAGACCAGAGGAACTGGATGGTGCCCGGCCACTGCTGCTGACTGGACTGAAAGGAACCATGGTAGAAGGTCCTGGATAGAATGAGAGGAAAACTAGGAACAAAACGCGAAGCTGATAAGAGTAGCCAGACTTCCTGGTCTGACAAAGAATGCTAGAAGCCCTGAGGTATGGCTTTAGTCACGCTTTGAGTCCAGGACTGACCTTCACTCCCAGGGCTCAACCCTCGCCCAAACGACATGCAGACCTCCAAGGTGACTAAGGGTGACAGAGGGAGACCTGAGGGTGTGGGAGAGGAGCACTGAATACCCCATGGACAGCCAAGAGAGCGTGAACAGAGTGTGGCCAGGGCACTCCCTAGAGGCAAGCCTGGCCACACTTAGTCTCACTTCCTGCGGGCAGTTCTTGGGAAAAGACATTCTGCTGGGAAAGACTCTCAGTCAGGAACGGGCTCAAGTGCCAGAGATGCGGGGAGGATGTGGGCGGCACAGGATAGGTGAGGCTCAGAGCTGCTGTTCACAGAGCTGCTGTGGGTTGTAGTCAACTCCAAGGAATCTAATAACAAGGTGATCAGTAACCCCAGGGAGACCTGGCCTCCTGAGAGCCATCAACCACACACCATCTAAAGGACAAGAGGGGAAAAGCTTAGAAGAGATGGGCCGAATGGCAATGAAAATCACAGGGATGGAGTGGGAGGAGTGCTGTGATCGGGGAGGGTTACACACAGTACAAGGAAACAAACTGCATGAAACAGAGACAATTTTCTCTGTAAACTTTCACTCAAATCACAACAGAAATGAAGCAAACAAAAACCAAATCCAGGGCTGGAATCCGAGGCTCTACCAGTGCAGACAGAATCCTGACCAGAAGGAAGATTCTCTACAAGCCATACCCAGCTCCGTGGCACCTAGCAATGACAATTACATTAGTGTAGGGAGCTCTGGTGGCTTACTGGTAAGTAGCTGCACTGCCAACCTAAAGGTGCACAGTTTGAATCCACTGGCTGCTCCAAGGGAGAAATCGCTCGTGTGATTTACCACCTCTGAAAACCCACTGGAGGGTCAGCTGTGAGGTCTCATCAGTGCAGGGGGTGGTCAACCCTACTCACGCTTGAGAGATAAACACCAAGCAGACACAGAAGGATGCACAAAAAAGAGAACAGACAGTCAAAGACCGTCACGGACCAGGCTGCAAAGCTTAGACACGGACAGAGAACATGGGTTGTCCCTGAGCCAGACCACACACGCGGACTGAGGTGCACCTGATTCAAGTCACGGTTTTCCCAGCCGTCTGCGATGCGCCTCAGAGCTGGACGGTGAGTAAGGTTAAGAGAAGGATGGCTGCTCTGAGCTGTGCTTCTGGAGAGAAGAGTGCAGAGTAGCCAATGGACAGTCCAAACAAGTGACTGCCGCCATGGGCTCAAGTGTGTCAAAGACGATGAAGATGACACAGGGAGGGACAGGGTTCACATCCATTGTTCAGAGGGTCGATGTGAGCTGTACTTGATCTGATGGCACCCAACAACAAGCAGTCAGGAAATAAGGAGACACACGGCACTAGGAAAATCTGCAGTTAGGACCTCTCCAAATTATTGAGGAGTAATGCTATCAGTTTGAGGACTAAGGTGCACCTGATTCAGGTCACAGTCTTTCTTATCACTTGCTATGCATCTGACAGTTGGACGATGAATAAGGATGACAGAAGAATTGCTGCCTTTGAGCTGTGTTGTTGGAGAAGAGCACTGAACATCCCATGGACGGCGAAGAGAACAAACAGGTATGTCTTAGAGAGGGTGCAGCGGGAGTGCTCTTTGGAGGCAAGACTGATGAGGCTTCACCTTATATACTTTGGACATGTTGCTAAGAGGGGCTATTCCTTGGAGAGGGACATGATGCTGGGAAGGGTGGAGGGTTGGCGAAGGAGAGGAAGACCCTCAACTATGTAGACTGCCACGGTGACTGCCACAATGGGCTCTTTTGTGTCAGGACATGTGACAATGACACAGGACAGGACAGGGTTCATGTCTGCTGTTCACAGGGTCGCTATGAGTCGTATTCAACTCGATAGCACCTCACAATAAAAACCTGACTGAGGCTCCCTGCTGTGGTGTTTGGGTGACAGCATCTCTAGGAAACTGAGGCAGGGGGTCAAGATGAGGGTGAGGGGCAGCCAAGAGAGCTCCTCAGAACTGGGAAGCTTGGGACAACAGGCAGGAGGAAGAGCAACCCTCCCAGGTGACCCGGAGCCCGGCTGCTAGTGCTCAGGTTCAGGAAGCAAAATGAACCGAGGCGCCAGGAAAGCCCAGGCTTGTACTTGACAATGACACCCCAGCTCATGGCCCTGTCTGGCTGCCCTGTGCACTGTCTCTCCAGAGAGAAGACAGTGTCCAGACTATTCCAATAACTGAGTTTCAGGCAGCCGATCGCGTCCAGGCCACTTTGGCTTCCTGTTTACACGAGCCTGGGACAGCCTGGTGAAAGAATTCCTGGGTCCCTGGCCCGGCGCCCATTTTCCAACTCCACCTGCGGCCGGACGCTGAGTGCAGCCAAGGCTGTCTGAGCCGCAGTGGACATGGGACTGACTTTTCAGATGGGCTCTGTTGCACTCGTGTCAAACAGGAAATGCCACTGCTCTCTCATGGGTGGGGACACGGGGGACAGGAGCCTCCTGGTCTCATGATCCCGGGATAAAGTGTAACGAGGTAGCAAGGCCAGGCAGACGTGTGGGCACAGAGGAGTGCTCTGTGGTGGGTGTGAAGTTGTTCAGCACCCAAGTCAGCTGCAGGGTGAGGGCTGGCAAGGAGTTCAGGCTGATGGCAGCTTGGATCAGCTGTGAAGATGCCACTGCCTGTGAGCTTGAACTTGCTCTCTGCTTTGGAGTTCTAATCCCTCTCCTCCTGTGAGGCCAAGAACGGTGACACTTCATCTCACATACCCTGGGCATGTGGCTGAGAGGGGCTATTCCTTGGAATAAGTGCATCAAGTTTGGAAAGGTTGTTGTTGTTGTTGTTAGGTGCCACTGCGTTGAGCATGACTCATAGAGACCCTATGAACAGAAGATCTGAACCCTGTCTGTCCTCGGCCATCCTCACACTTCCTGACACACAAGAGCCCATTGCAGCAGTCACTGTGTCAGTCCACCTGGTTGAGGGTCTTCCTCTCCTTCACCGACCCTCTGCCCCTCCCAGCATCATGTCCCTCCCCAAGGAATAGCCCCTCCTAGAAACATGCCCAAAGTATGTGAGGGGAAGCCTCATCAGTCTTGCCTCCAAAGAGCACTCCGGCTGCACACTCTCCAAGACATATCTGGCTGTTCTCCCGGCCTTCCATGGGGTGTTTAGTACTCTTCTTTAATGCCACAGTTCAAAGGTGTCAACTCTTCTTCTGTCATCCTTATTCACTGTCCAGGTCTTAGATGCATAGCTAGTAATCAGAAAGACCATGGCCTGAATCAGACACATCTCAGTCCTCAAACTGCCATCACTATTCCTCAATCACTACTCTTCAATAATTTGCAATTTCACCCCAATAATTGGGAAAATTTATTTATGTAATATATATATAGTCAGGAAATTAAAAAAACGTATTGTCTCTAAAGTACTCAAGAGCAACGGTGTCTCTCTGGAGACTAAGGTGCGCCTGATACAGGCCATGGTCTTTGCAATCACTTGTTATGCATCAGAGAGTTGGACAATGACTAGGGAGGACAGAAGTAGAACTGATGCCTTTGAGCTGTGGTGCTGGAGAAGAGTACTGAATGTACCATGGACTGACTGCCAAGAAAACAAACAGATTCATCCTGGAGAGGGTTAAACCAAGCTACTCCTTGGAGGCAAGGATTCTGGGGCTTCGTCTGACATATTTTGGGTATTTGCAAGGAGGGACAGGTCCTTAGAGAGGGACATCATGCTTGGGAGGGTGGAGGGACAGCGCAAGAGGGGAAGACCTTCTATGAGGTGGATTGATTCAGTGACTGGGGTAATCGGGATGGGTGTATCGGAGGCAGTGCGATTGGCACAAGATAGAGCAGGGTTTAGGGCTGTTGTACATAGGGTCGCTATGAGTCGCAAACGACTCGACAGCACATAACAACAACAACAACATATTACATATAATATATATTACACATAATACATAATAGAAAATACATATAATATATAAATAAATATTAATTATTTATACCCAACAATTGGGAATATCTTCCCATCGCATGCATCTCCTTATATCCTGACTGCTCGTAGCAAGGGACTTGCGGATACAAGCAAGATGAAGCTGTGGACAGTTTCAATCTCCTCTCCATCCATCAAGACACTGTCTATTAGTCCAGTGTTAAGAATCTTTGTTTTCTTGATATTGAGATGCAATCCAAACTGAAGGCTGCATTCCTCGATTCTCTGCAGCAAGTGCTTCAAGCCCTCCTCACTTTCAGGAAGCAAAGTTGTGTCATCTGCATAACGCTGGTTATTGTGAGTCTCCCTCCAATCCTGACGCCACTTTCCTCTTTACGGAATGCAGCTTCTTGGATAATTTGCTCCACATATAGACTGAATAAGTATGGAGAAAAGAATCCTGACACACCCCTTCCCAATTCCAAACCACACAGTGCTCTCCTGCTCTGTTTGCACAACAGCCTCCTGGTCCAGGTCCAGGTTCCTCATGAGCAAAATCAAGTGCTCTGGGATTCCCATTCTTCTCAATGTCAGCCACAACTTGTCATGATCCACACAGTCAAACACCTTTGCATAGTCAATAAGCACAAATACACACTCTTCTGGTATTCCTTACTTTCAGCCAGGATCCATCTGACACCAGCAATGAGATCCCTGGTGCCATGGCCTCTTCTAAATCCTGCTTGAACTTCTGTCAGCTCCTTATCTATGTACTGTTCTGGCCGTTTTTGAATGATCTTCAGCATTATTTTGCTTGCATGTGATACCAGTGATATTGTTCAATAATTTCCACATTCAGGTAGACATCACCCTTCTTGAAAGGCGGAGCCAGCAAGAGAAAGGAACACCTTCGACCAGGCAGACTGACACAGGGACTGCGGCAAAGTGCTCAAGTGTGTCAGAGATGACAAGAACGGCACAGGACAGGACTCAGATCTGTTCACAGGGCTGCTGTATGAGCCATATTCGACTCGATGACACTGAACAACGTTCATTTCCAGTTTTCCAACTCTTCTGAGGTGCTGGGGGCTCAGCTTTGCCCCAGAGCGAGCTGACCCAAACCCGGCTGCTTCTGGCTCCGTCTTCAGGAGCTCCACCACACTTCAGCTTACTGTTGTAGTCACTGAGCCTCTCATTCAAGGTTTGCCTGCTTTTCACCGACTCTCTACCTTACCAAGCACGATGCCTTTCTGACAATATGCCCAAGGCATGTGAGTCAGAGTCCCACCATCCCCGCCTCTGAGGAATGTCCTGGGCTCACTTCTCCCAAGAGAGACTGGTTTGCTCTTTGGGCAGCCTATTCTCTGCTACCATCTCAAAAGCATCGATTCTTCCTTGGACTTTCTTATTCATGGTCCAACTTTAACATGCGTATGGAGTAACTGAAGATATGTCTTGGACTAAGCACACCTTAGTCCTCAAAGTGAGATCCTTGCTCTATTCTAGAAACAGCAGATTACACATCCCAAGTCCAAAAAATCCTTAAAAAAATATATCCCACAGATCCTACGACCAGAGAACCCTTAAAATAAACACCCCACAGGTGTGCAATGGAGAACTGGAGGAACCTGGACAAAAACTCATCCCTTCTGGCGGCCAAGGTCCCCTGTACCACTGACAGCAACTCGAGCCAGCAGCGACCGTTCTAGAGACTCACAGAGAGCTTTGCTGAAAAGAACCTTCTTGGATGAATTAGCCCGTTTATGACAGAATGTTCATGAAACACAGAAGACAAAAACCAGACAAACCAGTCCAGCCCCGCTCTGGAACCCTCACAACAGAACTTCCTGTCGGGATTTTGTCAATAGCCCTGTGTTGCCACAGCAATGCTCGCTGTCACGTAAGGGAACACGTACTGGTAGTCTGTCTGGTCACCAGAATTCCCCTTGGCAAATTTAGTCTGGGGACAGAGACCTAGACTAGGAGTGCCGGGAAGGAGAGGAAGCCAGCTCAAGGTCAGCTCTGAAGGGCTTCCCAGGTGTGAGATCTCCAATGTGCCTTCAGGTGTGACATCTCTGGTGTGTCCTCAGTGTGACATCAACATCTCAAGTGTGCCCTACAAGTGTGACATCTCAGGTTTATCCTCAGGTGTGACATATCTCAGGTGTGTCCTCTCAAGTGTGACCTCAGGGGTGAGATCTCCAATGTGCCTTTAGGTGTGACATCGCATGTGTGTCCTCTCAGGTGTGCCCTCTTGTGTGTACCCTCAGGTGTGTCTTCAGGCATGACATCTCCAATGTACCCTTAGGTGTGACATCTCAGGTGTGATCTCAAGTGTGCCCTCAGGTGTGCTCTGGGGTGAGGAAAGCTCCCCTGGTGCTCCAGGTAGACAGCCTGGCTATAGCGTCCCTGGGTATGCCTGACTGGCAGGGATATGGCCCATGGAGCCACGGCTTGGCCAAGTGGGGTCTCTTGGAAGGGCCATCTTAGGCCTGACCTCAAGCAGGCCAGTGGGCAGGACTCTGCTACGTAAACCAGGAATGTGGTCACTCATTGATGCCCGAGCAGCGTCTCAGGCCGAGCTGGGAAGGAGCGTAAGTGCACCCTCCAAACGCAGCTAACCCCCATCTTCAGGCAGCATGGGGAGGGCAGACGGGCTGACTCTGCTCCTCAGGAGACAAAGCCAGCGCCAGCCAGCCGGGGAGGGGACGGGGCGGCTGCACAGCCTGCTTTATGCATGCAGCATGGCAAACAGTCACGAAGCCAGGAGAAGTGGTGCTCTGGGCGAACCCGCCGCCAAGGACCTCTCTGAGGTGCGGGAAAGCAAGGGTGTCAGTTTAAAGACTAAGGTGTGCCTGCCCCAAGCTGTGATTTTTTTTTTTCAACTGCTTCCTACGCATCACAAAGTGGGACAAGCAAGACTGAAGACCTGAGGCCTTTCGACTGTGGTGCTGGAGTGCTGATGATCCCGCGGACTGTTAAAAAATGCAGACCAGTCTGTGCTGGAGGAGGTGCGACCGCAGCGCCCCTCAGAGGCAAGGAGGTGAAACGTCATCTCCCGTACTCTGCGCATGTGCTCGGGAGGGGCGAGTCCCTGGAAAACGACATGGTGCTGGGAACGGCGGAGGGTCTGAGACAGAGACATCCTCAAGCAAAAGGAATGACACCCTCCGAGACCAAAACAGTGGGTGTGCATGGGGCAGAGACTGTGAAGCCTGCAGAGGAGAGAGCTGGCTCTCAGCTATTGTCCACGGGATTGCTGTGAGCTGCAGTCATCTGGAGGACATCGAAGGCCAACAGCAACATGGCAAGCAGGCAGAGGCTACCCACAGGATGTTCCACTGTAGGGACCGTGAACTAGGGACATTTCAAAGAAATCCAGGACACCTAACTCACATGGACCTTGACTGTGCTCACGAGGCCCACATACACAGACCAAGAAGCGGCTGTCTGAACAGAACACGGAGATACTGTTTCACATCTGTGACATTAAAGGTCGACTGGGCATCTTTTCTCTGAATTATTTGTAAGGTTTTCAAAGGCCAGTTATTTCAGAAGTGGACGGCCAGTTCTTCTTCTTCGTCTGTCTTAATCAGGAAGCTCGGCTGAAACTCACCCACCACGGGTGAACCAGACATTAACACACCAGTGGCACAGAGAGGGCAACCTCTGGAAAAGTGAGGGCCAGTAAGAACGGGAGACCCTCAGTGAGATGTCCTGACACTGTGACTGCAGCTGTGGGTTTGCATGTGCCAGCGGCGGTGTGGCCGGCACAGGACAGGACAGGGCTCAGATCTGTTGCTTTACAGGGTCACCAGGAGTCCTACTCGACTCGACAGCACCTGGAATCACTCTGCAGGAGCCCCTTCCTGGTGTGACTGGTTCTCCCGGCTGCCCCCCACCGTGAGGGCAACAGTGGGTGAGGAGAATGTGGGATCATGGAGAGGCCCTGGGAGCCCCTCGCTGCCCAGAGACAATGGGGGGGCTGGGGTGGGGGGTGCGCTCACTTACTCTGCCATCACCCTCCTCACGTTGCTGGCGTACAGCGCTGGGCTCTCCTTCTCCTCCTCCGAGGGGTGGTACACTGGGAGGAACTGTCACACAGGGCTGCGTTACTGCCCATGCTCCAGACCCCACCCCCCCAAACACACCAGCAACGGAGCATCTGACAAAGCAGACAGGCTGCGGCCCTTCAGTGGACCTTTAGAGCTATGGCCCCTTGTCGCTCCTTCCTTTCCCCTTTCCTCCTTCTCCCTCTTCCCCTCCCCTTTTCTATCTCCCCCTTTTCCCGTCCTTAGATGTTCCCACCCCTTGCCTTTTTCTCCCTCTCCCCATCTCCCCTGCCCACACCACTTCAGCAGAAGCTCCCGCTCCCATCTTTATTTGTAGCTGGAGGGGTAAGGGGTGAGGTTCCCCTGTGCACTTTAGTTTTTCCCACCATGCTGGATTTAACCTTTAACACAAAAGACACAAAACACGGCACACACATTTCCATTCCTCCAGGCCTCTCTCTGTTCGTGCCGGGGTTAGCACAACAAGCAACTTGTGCAGGAGGCCCACTATTAATGAGCTTTTTGCCCTCCACGGTCTCGAAATGCAGAGATGTCTCTCTCTCTCTCTCTCTCTCTCTCACACACACACACACACACACACACACACACACACACACCACCTCTCCAGGACTGAGTGGAGTCCACATGGGCCTCTGGTGCGAAGCCCCTCACTGGGTCCCTTCTCTTTAACACAGACGTTTAAGACAATCAAAATATCCTGAAATCCCACTCGCTCTCACTTTCCAGTTCTACGCTTTCACTTCCCACTATGCTGTCAACAAGTTTCCAAATGGCAACAGCTTCTCATGTGAGCAGGTGGCGGACTCTGAGACAGGAATGTGAAGGGGTCCCAGAACAAGGGTGCCAAACTGCACAACCAACCAGCCCTGTTCACCCTGAGAAATCAGGTCTAAAAAACCCTGGAAAGTCCCCCAACGGCTTAAGTGGGGACATGGGTCAGCAGACTACTTCACCCCACCCCTCACCTATCCTATCCACATGTCTTCATCTGAGTCCACACTGGGACCGCTGTCGTTTTGAGCACAAGATATTGTGCATACAGGGCCTGGCCCAGATTCGGGCTGGGTGCTTTCAACTCAGCCCTTTGTAATCTCTGGGGTTAATTTAACTCGTCTGTAGGGAACCAAGCTGTTAAACCAAAAGCTGATCCTTTCTGGTGGTTCAAATTCACCAGTAGATCCTTGAGGGAAAGACGGGCAATCTCCTCCTGTGTGATTTACAGCCTTGGGAACCTGCTGGTAGGTGAGCTCTGAGTCAGTTCTGAATCCATAGCAATGAGTTTTTGATGGTTTACTAAGGTGAACTCCCTGACTGAAGGTCTGAGTCATTTGTAAACCTGGCAGGACTCAGCAGTAGTTTCTGGAAGGCGGTAAAGCACTCCATTAAATACTTAAGTAAAAAAATGACATTGCTTATTTTTCAGGTGTAAGAATGGCACATGAATTCTCTTTTTAAGAGAAGAAATTCTATTTTTTATCCATTTGGATAAAGTTCACAGGCGGTAAGGATGGGATTGAATCTCATTTGGCCAAGGTCACACAGCAACTGTGACTTCAGAAACAGTCAACGGGCTGAAGCCTCTGAAGTGGGCTAGAGCATTAGCAGGGGAAGGTGATGTGAAAAACAGCGACATAAATGAATATTAAATAAATAAAATGGGGAAAATCACTGCATATGGGTCAACTTTATACATGCCTAAGTCACAGTAACTCTAATAGGAAGTGGACAGGCTTAATTTCCTGTTAAAATTCTAGTTGCAATGTTTCAAGCTTGTGCAGGAGACAAAGCAAATGGGAACTTCCTCTAAGAAGCCTTTAGGAACAGAAAGAAGTTCAAAATATGAGGGTTGAACATGACATGGGACATTGTATCTAAGAGACAGAGTAGTGTTCATAGATGGTGCGTGATACTGGATCTGTGAGATGTGCAGTGTGTCTGTGATAACCATTGCAAGGTGCAACATTGTATCTGCATAAGGCACTCCAGTGTCCATCCAGCTTAACACTGTATCTACATGATACACTCCACTGTGTCCATGCAGCTTTAACACTGTATCTAGAAAATATGCAACACTGTATCCACACTCCACTGTACCCTTATAGCATGTAACACTGCATCTACATGATACACTCCCTGTGTCCACAAAGCATTTAATGCTGTATCCAGACAACATGCACACTCACTGAGTCACACAGCATTTAACTCTGCATTTAGACAACATGCAAGAGTGTGTCTGCACAAACCTCAATCTCCACTTGGTTGTGAAACTGACACAGGGTGAGCCACAGGATTTCCAACCTAAAACACACAGATGTATGATAGGGGTTAAAAAGCAAAAGGCTTCATTCTTCTCGGTGTAAGTACTTCAAATGCCAGGAGGGGCATTTCTGGAACTACTTCCCCTCTAGCTGACACTACTGGGGGGTTGGCTCTCTGTGGGAAAGATGCTGAGTTTACTCTACATGCAAAGGCCAAAGGCAACGGCAGATTGACTGATAAAGTGGGCTTAGGAAGCATTTATGAGGCAGAGGTCTTCACTGGTGTCCCAACCTCCACCTCTGCATCTGCATCCAGCCTATCATGTGGTGTTCACCTTCTAGCACAGGAAACCTTATCTTCCTCAGACCTGGAGGTTAGCAGGTCACCTGCCAGTTCTCCTCTCACCACCCTGCAGTGAAGCCACGGTGAGCTCAGTCACAACACCCTCCCTCCTCAAGGCTCACTCAAGTTCCTGACCTCAGACACCAGAACTGCCCGCTCTTGTTTGAAATGAGTTATTCAGAGTTCCCACTCCAGGGCCCCACACCTAACCCCCTCCATGGACTGTCCACCTCCTGACCCTCTTTCCACAATCCCAGATGGGGATCTGAATGTCTAGCCTCACGATGGGCTGAGCCTCTTCCTGCCAGGCCACTGGAGGGTCACTCGGTTGGAGTGTTCACGTGAGCACAGGTAACCACTCTGCAGACTAAGGCCCTCATGTAACACGACAGACGGATGGATGAGTGTGTGACTTACGCTCCAGGTCCTTGCCAGGTCCACGTGATCGTGTCCTGCGGGGAGACAGGGATGTGGTCAGCCATGACTGGAAGCAGAACCCAGGGTCGCCGGGCAGCAGATCAGTGCCCACACTGTGTCCTGACGTACCTGTCACCCCACACATGACCGTGCCCTCTCGCCCCACTCTGATTTGGACAGAGGAGAAAGGGGTGTGTGTGTGTGTGCGCGCGCGCGTGTGCCAAATTCACATTAATGAGCCCGTGGGAGTGAGCCGAGCCCAGCTCGCCTGCAGTTCCATCTGTGACCTCTCCCGACATACCCTGTTTAAAAGCCCCACGAGCCAGCTCTGGGCTCTCTCCCTGGCCCGGCATCTCTGGTAACTGTGGTGTCTAACCCAAGTCTCCCCACTAGCCTTCAGGCTAGCACTCGCACTGTCAGCCTGTCATTTGTCTTCCCTGCCCACTCGGACATATGCTGCCTGCTGGTCAGCTCACATCCCTCCCCACAGATGGGCACACGTTGGCTTTTGACCTCTCTGCATGTCCATGTATGGGTCAGCTCCTAGGCCCCTCTACATGGTCAATCCTCCACCACAGCCATTCACAGGTCAATTCTGGTCCCCCACATGGCTGGGAGTAAGTTGGTCCCCTCCCCGACTATTTTGTGCAGGTCAGTCACCAGGCCTCTTCCGTGGCTGTGCCGTCTCGGGCCCCCTAAACATGGCTATGGATTGGTCACCTCTGCTCCCGAGTCATGACTATGTCCAGTCAGCCATCACCCTAACTTCCAATGCCAGCAGTGTCACCCCACCCACCCCTCTGTGCATGTCCAGGGCTGCCCCTCGCAGCGGCATTTCCAAGGGTCTCCACCCCCAGTCACCATGCCAAGAATACCAGGTGACTCGCCCTGTCCCCCTTGACACTGACCACCTGCCTGTGACTCCCTTCTTCCCAGTCTGGGCCCTCCTCCACCCCTTCAGATCTGCTCCCAGCCCCACACTCGCCCCGTCTGAGTTTACACAGTTAACAGTGGAGTAGGTCCACACACACGGTGACAGAGAGGTGCTCAAGGCTGACGTTCTGCTTCTCGGACCACTAAGGGGAAGGCACACGGCCTGGAGACATTTAACCGTTATGTACCATCGAGCCAGAACCGACTCCTCGCTGACCATCCGGTGGGTTTTCAGAGGAAATTAAACTCCTGGGAGGAGATATCCATCTTTTTCCTGTAGAGCAGCTGGTGGGTTTGAACCGTGTTCCTCTGGGTTTGCTGCACAAAGGCAAATCCAGGCGAGCTCTGGTGGCCTAATGGCACGAAGCTGCACTGCAATCCCAGAGGTGAGCAGTTCGAATCCACCAGATGCTCTGCTGGAGAAGGAGGGACAGTCTCCTCCTGTACCAGTCAGATCTGATTTGATGGTACACACAAAAACAATAACAATTAATAATAATAAAAATAATAAAAACACCCCCACAAAAAAACAAAGGCAAATCCAGAATTCTACCCACAGATGACCTTTTAGTCTGGGATTGATCCTCTGAAATTTTTTTCATCGGAGATGTGTTAAAGTTGTGGCTGGACAAGGGCTCAGCCCACCACCAGCCCGCGGTCCCTCCTCAGAAGACTGGGAATGGAAAGACTTTATCACAGGGCCAGCCCACTGTCATCGAGTGGACTCAAATGCTTGGTAACCGCCCACCAGGACTCCGGGGCTGTGAATCTTTCCATGAAGAGATTGCTTTATTTTCACCCCTCAGAGCTGTTGGTGGATTCAAACCACTGACCTTCAGTCTGAAGCCTGATAAAGAACTCCGTGACCAGGGCTCTTTTATATTCCAGAGCACTTACAGAGGGGATCTGCCCATCGAGTGTGGCTCTCAGCCCCACCTGCTGTGTCAGCTGCTGAGTGAACATGTTCCCTGCTGTGTCACCCCCCAACACAGGCCAGTCTTGGGGACCCAGGTGTGGGGCTCTGCATCCTCCAGGCCTAAGCCCACAGCACCTGCGCCCGGGATCCCAGAACTGCCAGGCACAGCGGGTACTCGCTCTCCTTGGGGACACCTGCCTTCGCTGTCTCCAAGGCCGGCTGCCAGACACCGAGAGGCAGCAGTCACAAACACACCAGCCTCGTTATGTCTCTCCCTCAAGGCCAATCCATCAGACACAGGGGTGCATGGCCAGGTCTCAGAGGTCGAGTCCCCTGAGCTGTCTGTCCCTCAGCTCCAGGCAGCCCACAGCAACGGAGGTGAGCGGACACGGGTCTCAGAGGGAGCTGCAGCCCAAGGTGACAGGCAGCAGCTCTGCGCCCACGGGGAGCCCACATGGCCCTTGGCTTGGGAGGCCCGAGGAGGGAGGGGCTGGGTGTCCCTGTCTGGGATGAGGCTGATATGCAGCACCTCCCGATGGAGGTACGTGACAGAGGCCCCTTCACGGGACTGGATCCCTGCCACCCTCAGTCAACGGGGCAGCCAGGGCCAGACCTGTGGAGGGCTCGGGGACTGTCGCTTCCACCCAGGACCTGTCACCCCAGTCACCCCTTTATTCACTCTGGTCTCCTTGAGCAGTGGTAAGAAGCTGCACTGCCAACCTGAAGGCACGTGGTTCGAATCCACCAGCTGCTCGGCGGGAGGAGGATGGGCAGTCTCCTCTGTGTGATAGACTGCTCTGAAAATCCACCAGAGGCTCGGCTATGGGTCTGCTCCGACTCGACGGTACTCAACAACAATCTGACACCATGCCCGAGTCAGTGAGGCAAGGCGCCCAGATCCCCGCCTCTGAGGGGCGCTCTGGCTGCACTCCTGCTAAGATAGACGTGTCTGTTCTTCCCGCAGTCCGTGGGATGTCTGATACTCTTTGCTAACTCCACAATTCAAAGGCGTTGTGTGGGTACAGAAAAGGGGGGGGGGTAACTATTCCACACACCCCCCCCACCGGTTACCATCAAATTGGTCCAGCTCATGGTGTCCAGGCCCTTCTCCTGAGGCCCTCTGGGCGGACTCAAACCCCTGGACTTTCAATTACCAGCTAAATACAATAGCTGTGTGTGGCACCCAGGCACTCACATCGCTTGTGTGACTTCAGGCCAAATGTGAGCCATTATCGGCTCATTATGTGACTTCAGGGGATGACTGCTCCCTCTTCACACCTCAGTCACCCAGAGTTGAGGCAGAAATCAAACCCAGGGCCATCATCGGATATGATGTGGGCATGTAAGGGCTGTGGGGCAGGGCAGGCAGAGTGTGCGGCAGGGAGGGCAGACTGTGGGGTGGGGCGGGCGGACTGTGGGGCAGGGCAGGCCTGTCCCAAGGGGCTCCTGAGGCTGTAAATCTCTCTGAAAGCGGACTGCCACTTCTTTCCCTCCTTACGTGGCTGGTAGGTTGACACCAGCAGGCCCATTTGGTTAGCAAGAAAATGTTTTAGCTGCTGTGCCACCAGAGCTCAAATCCCCAACTGCAAAGCCTCACTCTTGCCCTCAGCCTTCTGGGAATCAGAAAGCCTCTGTTCTGAAACTCCCAGAGTGCAGCCTGGCTGGGCAGAGCATGTCAGGAGGGGGGGGGGGCCTGGAGACTGAGGGCCTCCACACACCGGGATGGTCCTGAGTGGAATGGCTAGTGGGTCCCGGGGACTGGGCAGTGTCCAGAGGACTGCAGTTTGCCCAACCTGCCCTGGGTACCTTCAATTACCTCACATGCATGTGAAAGCTGGATGACCGGTAAGAACGTTAAAGACTTGACACCTTTAATTGTGTTGGTGAAGAATGCTATGTCATGTCCTTGTTGTGCGCTGTTGAGTAGGTATTAACACATAGCTGACCCTCCAGAGGGTGTTCAAAGGCAGTTAATTTCATAGGAGACTGCCCAGCCTTCTCCCACAGAGCAGCTGGTGGATTCGAACTACGTTCCTTCAGGCTGGCAGCACAGTTTCTTACCACCCAGCCACCAGAGCTCCCGGAATACTGACTGTGCCGTAGACTGCTGAAATGCCCAAGCCCGTGTGTCTGGGAACCAGTGTGGCGAGAGTGCTCCTGCCAGGGAGGAGGGTGAGCCTCAGGCTCCCGTGGGCGGGTGTGTTATCAAGAGAGACCAGCCCCGGGGACAGAAATGCAGAAGGGGAGCAAAGGAGAAGACGTCTTGCCCCCCACGGAGACAGGCTGGCACCCAGCTGCAGCAGTGAACCCAAGCCCAGGGTCGGTGGGTGGGGAGGGGCAGGACTGAGCACGGGCTCAGATGTGATATGTGCCTGAGTCGTATCGGCTCTCCCATCTGACACCGCGGGGTGGCAGACAAGACCCAAGTTGAACGTGGGTCACCTGCCCCCTGGACGATTCCTGCACCTCGACGGCTGTGTTATGAAAGATGCACTCAAACACACCACCCCAACCCCAGGTCCCCATCCTCGGCTTTGTGCCTCGACGGGGCGCCCTGGGAAGACAAACTCACCAGCTTGTTCGGGTATCGCAAGACCACGGGCTGCACAGGGACGCCAGGGATAAAGGCACCTGGAGGGAGGACAGAGTCTGGTGAGATTCCGGAGCCAGCGCCCGGCTCACGCTTCAGATGATGAGAGCCAAAACCCACGGTCCACGCGGAGGCGCGCTTCCTTCCACACGGGGGGGAGGGGGGGCGTGAGCTTCGCCAACACCCCGCTGCTGTCAGTGTCTCTAACTCTGCCAGCCTCGGGTCGGATCAGAACCAGGTGCAGCAGGAAGCCCCTGGTCCTCCTCAAAGTGAAGCCGAAGCAAAGGTGTTAAAGGCCAAGAAGGCCGCCTTGAAGGGCATCCCCAGCCACAAGGTCCACAACGTCACCCACCTTCCTGCAGCCTCAGACACCGAGACCCTGAAGGCAGCCCAGATACCCCCTGAAGAGCAGCCCCCCAAGCTCGACCACTGAGGCAGCCATGAAGATGGCAGAGGATAACACCCTTGTGTCTCCGGTGACATCAATGACAAGGCCAACGAGCACCAGGTCAAACGAGCTGTGAAGCTGCACTGTGACCCTCGTGGCCAAGGTCAATCCCTTCCCCAGGCCTGACGGAGGGAGGAATAATGCTCATTACGATGCTTTGGGTGTTGCCAATAAAACAGGGATCCGCTAAACTGAGTCCAGCCGGCTAATTAAAAAAAAAACAAATCATTCTCACACACACTTAAAAACCCCAACTCTGCTCCACAGGTTTTTGGGGGCTGTGGTCACCACACCTTTCTTCTGAGAGGCCTCTGGGTACAAGCTCCACACTGTGTGAGCAGATAAGCAGGTCAACACCAGAATCACCCAGGACTCCGCACTTCATGCAAAATGAAAGGCGCTGGTGGGAAGATGGTGGGTCTCCCTGGTCTGCCTGTCCCACAGGGTCCTAGTTATGAAGCTTGGGTTCCATCCAGGAGAGTCTGGGGTCTTCTCTCAACAGAACAAACGTGTGCATCAGCCAGGGTCTCCACCAGTGTCCCTGCGTCTGCTGGGGGCACGTTCAGCACGGAGGACAGATGGACACAATAATCCTGGTTCTCACTCTTCTCTGGTCTGGCTGGTGAAGCATATGACAGAACCGTCCCCAGCCCTGCTGCCCAGGGATGTCACGGTTTCCTGGCCCCTCGGGACAGTAGACACTACCCCCTACTTAGACCCTACAGAAGGAGCCTGTGTCCTATGCCAGAGATCTTGTGGGTGGTCACTGTGGGTCACTGCACAAATTGTTTCCTAGGAGGCAGCCCTACAGAGCCACAGTTTAACCTGACAACCGGACAGAGGCGACACTGGAGCTCGTGATGTTGGAGTAGAGGTCCTGGGCAGGAAGTGGCTGCAGAGTGACCTGACAGGGTCTAACCTGTCCCAGAGGGTAGTGGTGGGGGAGCAGGGGATCCCCTTCAAGCAGGTGCCTCAATGTGGCACCTTGCTCTTCAGTCCTGGGGATTCTGGGCCGGGGCTCCTGCACAGCGCTGGGAGAATGAAGCCCACATGTGCACGCGGACTGCTCGAAGCTTCTAGTTCACTGGCTGGAGATGCCAGGGCTGCACTTCCAAGACGAGGGGTAAGCACCCACTCAGATTTCACCTTCCGCAGACTGCCCAGCGTCCAGACTGCAGGGGCTGTGGGCTTTGGGGCAACAGACCCTCCAAGCCATGAGAAACAAAACAAAAAACCAAACTCCACAGCTGTAGTGGTGATTCTGACCCACAGCGACCCCTCGTGGGACTTCTGAGGCTGTAAGTCTTAACACGACAACGTCCGGCTTTCTTCTCGGAGTGGCTAGTGGATTTGAACCAGGGGAGGAGCCTGATTCATTAATCATTACACTGTCAGGACCCTGCAGCAGGAACTCCATTCCTCTCAGTGTCCTGGAGCATCCTCTACAAAGATGCTTCAGGGGCCCTTATGCAGGGCACTTCTTGAAAAAATTAATTTCACAGCAAAGTTTTCTTTTTTACATGCAATTTGTAAAAATGATTTTTAAATGTGATTTGTGGCACGGATAAAAGTTTGTGGAGCCAATGAGGCTTCTACTGAACATTCCAAACGCACCGCATGCTGTCGCGGAACACAGGCTGCAATCCCCTCATGTAACAGCATTCTTCCCGCTCCCTCCCTGGGGATCCCATTTTCTTTCCTCCTCCTTCCGTCCTTCCTGCCTTCTGAGCTTCACTTTACGGAGAGGATGCCCTTGTGATCCTTCAGGATCGATAGCCCTGAGCTCACTCCTCCCTGCTGTTCATTCCAGGCCTGCCTATCGGTTGGCTGCAAGGTAACCCCAGGGAATGAGGTCCACTGGGAGAGGTGACCGTAGGGGACCACCAAGCCTGAGAGAGTGAGCTCGTGGTCCACCCCACCCAGGCCCAGGGAGGAGCAGAGGACCCTTCACTCTCCTGGCCGGCAGGTGCCCGACCCCAGAGAGGGCAGACGACCGAGCCCAGGCAGACAGCTGGTGCCTCGGCACTCGGAGGACGTGAGCAGAGTGGGTTCCCTCACGCCGAGGCCTGGTTTCTGGCTCACAATGAGAGGACTCGCCCTGCTGTTCCCTGGCTGGCTGCACCCTGACCACTGCCCTGCTCTCCTGCAGGTCTTGTGTCCCCTGCAACTCGGGGAACAAAGTCGAGACACCATCTCCGGTGTCTGTGGAGACTCGTCCAAGACCACTTTCTGGGCTCCACGATGACTGTCTTGCCAATGGGGGCTCCTGTGCTCTCTTCATTTAGAAACCCCTTCTCGGCCCTTGGGAGACGTCCTCTGAGGAAGGAGGCCAGCAGGGTGTCCCGGAGCCTGCTCGGACTTCTGGAACCCAGGGCCCCTGCTCCAGAGGATAATTCACCTGTGGTCCTCTGCCCGTGAGTCCCTCCCTCTCCCCAGTCCTCTCTGCAGTAAGACCTTCAGCTCACTCTGTGTTTCTCTTCTGAAGACAAAGAAATGTGCACCACCCACGATGACAGCCTAGTGTCCACAGAGAGCAGAGAGGACCATCCCGCTCACCAAGGTGCCCAGAGAGAGCAGAGAGGTCTGTCCAGCTAAGCCTGGTGCCCACAGAGTGGTCTGTCCAGCACAGTGTGGTGTCCATAGACAGTTCAGCTCAGCCTGTGTCCAGAGAAGACCATCTTGCTCAGCCTGGTGTCCACAGAGAGCAGGAGGTCTGTCAAGCTCAGCCTGATGTCCACAGAGGCCCCAGTACAGACTGGTATTCACAGAGGCCCGTCCAGCTAAGCCTCGTGTCCACGGAGAGGCGCATCCAGTACAGACTGGTATTCACAGAGAGGCCTGTCCAGCTAAGCCTGGGGTCCAGAGAGCAGAGGTCTGTTCAGCTCAGCATGGTGTCCACAGACAGACCGTCTAGCCTTGGTGTCCACACAGACGCCCGTCCTGCTCAGCCTGGTGCTGAGGCACTGAAGGCGGGGCTCCGTGCCCCAGGGCACAGCTCTGACGTGCGTGAAGATGTGAATACTTCACAAAGTCCAAAGAGGAGATTGCCCTCCCACCCCCAGGCCTTCACAGCTGGGGCTCAGGGCCCTCTGCCCAAGGGGGAGTGGAGGACGGGACCTGGCTGCATTTATCACCTGGTGGCCCGAGTCTGTCTCCTGCTCAAAGACCTTTGCATTCTGGATTCCCAGAGCTCTGTGAGTGGTCAGCTCTAGACCAGTGTCCTCACAAAGAGCCATTTGGATGCACAGACCCAGCCTCAGCCCAGGGAGCAGCTATGAACAATTCCAAAAGGGGAAAAGGGCCCATTTCCAGTCCAGGACACCCTCAAGCCTGCACCATCTAAGAGCAAAGCCCACATATCCACTTCCTTACAAACATTTCAAAATCACGTCTCACTCCACCTGGAAACACTGGAAACCCTGGGTCTAACTCCCAGATTACTTCATGCCTCTGCTAATGGGTGTTTTTACGAACACCTACATCAAGAGAAAAACAATTTAAAAAAATTAACATACAATAATCAACTAATACGTCATTTTGGTTATTTTCCCTTTTACAAAGAGAGAAACAATTAAGAACAATACATACCAGGCTTGAACGTAATTAAGCAGGTCCTGTTGGTACAAGTGCCTTCTGGAAAAATCATTATCTTAAAGAAGAAAAAAAAAATTAGTCACCAGGACTTTTGAGTGCCGGTGAGCCCGGCTGCTCAGTGTATTTCTCCGCGACTAAAGGAGTCAGAGGATTTCCCCAGATTCAGCAGCAGAGGTCAGGCCTGAAGCAAGGCAATCAGCAGGTGTGGGCCCTGACTTGGCCTACACCCGTTGTCAGGACAGTAGGCGTGGGCCCTGCCCTGGCCTGCACCATCGTCAGGATAGCAGGTGTGAGCCCTGCCCTGTCATCAGGACAGTAGATATGCACCCTGCCCTGGCCTGCACCATCGTTGGGACAGCAGACATGAGCCCTGCCCTGGCCTGCACTGTTGTCAGGACAGTAAATGTGCACCCTGCCCTGGCCTGCACTGTCGTCGGGACAGCAGATGTGATGGCAGACGTGAGCCCTGCTCTGGCCTGCACCGTTGTCAGGATAGCAGGTGTGCGCCCTGCCCGGGCCTGCACCGTCGTTGGGACAGTAGATGTGCACCCTGCCCTGAACCATCATCGGGACAGCAGATGTGAGCCCTGCCCTGGCCTGCACCATCGTCGGGACGGCAGACGTGAGCCCTGCCCTGGCCTGCACGGTCGTTGGGACGGCAGACGTTGACGGCAGATGTGAGCCCTGCCCTGGCCTGCACTGTTGTCGGGACAGCAGATGTGAGCCCTGCCCCGGCCTGCACCATCATCAGGATAGCAGGTGTGCGCCCTGCCCTGGCCAGCACCGTCGTGGGGACAGCAGACGAGAGCCCTGCCCTGGCCTGCACCATCGTCGCGACCCTGGTCCTGCTCAAGCCCCTCACAGCAGCACTGGGTCAGTCCATCTCATTATGGACCTTTCCCTCTTTCTCTGACCCTTCACCTTCCCCAGTGTGAGTTCCTCCTGGGAAGACACGCGAGGGAGATGAAGTTTCACCACCCCTGCTCTCAGAAGCAGTCCAACTGCACTGAATTCCTCCAGGCAACCAACTGGTGGCCGGTGGCCCCTCCCCAGGCTGCCCGAAGGAAATGGTGCCCGGAGCTGGCCCCTGCAGGGTCCCAGGGCCAGCTAGCACCCAAGCAGCCAGGGAACATGTCTAGCATTTACACTCTGGCTGACTGAAAAAAAAAAGAGAAAACACAGGAAATAAAACAGAATGCGGGCAAACAAATCCTGGGGAAGGGGGCAGAGTGCCACTTTCTAGCCGGGACCCCAAATTCTATAAGGGACTTTCAGAGGAAGTGACACTCCTGACAGAGTCAATGCAGGGGCGAGCTGGAACTGACCACAGAGGTGACAGGCTCCAGCCTCTAAGTCAAACCCAGAGCAAAAAAGACTTCTTGATGCAGATAATCCAGGGAGAGTAACACACCCATCTTTTATTTCCTTACTCATTTTCATCTTAAAATTCCGGGTGCCAAAATCAAAGAACCAGCACATGCAGCCATCAGGTGGACCAGGGTCATGGCGACCCTGTGTGGGTCAGCGGAGAACGGTGTTCCAGGGGGCTTTTAGAGGCTGGATCGTGGGGAGCAGATTGCCCGGCCTTTCTGCCGAGGCACCCCTGGGTGGACTTGAACCTCTAACCCTTTCTTTAGCAGTTAAGGGCTTAGCCTTGTGTGCCACCCAGGCACTCGGAAAACTCAAGTCTACTCCTCCCCTCCTTTGAGCTGTGTTGTTGGAGAAGAGCACTGAACGTCCCATGGACTCCAAGAGAACAAACAGTTATGTCATGGAGACGGTGCAGCTGGAGTGCTCTTTGGAGGCACGAATGATGAGGCTTCCCCTCACATGCTTTGGCCATGTTGCTAGGAGGGGCTGTTCCTTGGAGAGGGGCATCATGCTGGGAAGGGTGGAGAGTCAGCAAAGGAGAGGAAGACCCTTGACCAGGTGGACTGACGCAGTGACTGCCATAATGGACTCTTGTGTGTCAGGAAGTGTGAGGACAGTGCAGGACAGAACAGGGTTCAGATCGTTTGTTCACAGGGTCACTATGAGTCTTACTCACCTCAATGGCACCTTACAACAACAGTTTCTCTAGACATGCTCACATGCACACACGCACACCCTCACACAAGTGTCCAGCCTCCTGAGAGAACCCTTTTCTCTTCTGCTTTTTCTTCCCCACCTCAGAGGTCACCCCTTTTGGAACGAGCCCGCTCGGAGCCCGATGAGGCATCATACCTGTGGCCATCTCCCGTTGGACTGTGCCCGTCTCTTTATCTCTTCCACTGTCTTCCTGCGAGAGTTCTGGTCCGAGCGGGACACAAACACCGGCCGGATGTACTTGATCAGGGCTGAGGACAGACGGGAGGAAGGGAGGCTGCAGCAAAGGCAGTACAGTTGACAGCAGAGAGTAGGGTCCATGGTGGGTGGGGGTTTGCCCGGGGCCCCAGGAGGCACACATGCCTGGGACACCCTGCACGAAACACTACAAAGTCAAGGTCAGCTGAGGTGGGCTTTGAGGCAGCTACCAGCCCTCTGGGGAGTCTGCAGAACAGCCCACCGGCCCGCAGCCCACAGGCCATTAAAGACCAGTACAGACTGCTCATGGGACAGTGAGTCAGGACGAGGAAAGAGTGCAGAATGGAAGCCTGGTCCCCCCATACCAGAGGGCGGGCTGTCCCTGGTCACCTGGGAAACCAGAGGAAGGTGAGCCCAGACTTCAGATCCCAGGGCTCACCTGTTCACATGGCTGGGCCCTCACAACCCTTTCTGGGAAGGGCCGAACTGTGTCCCCAAAACCAGTCCCAACCCTCAGAGCTTGTGGGCATGGTCTTATCTGGAAGCCGAGTCTCTGCAGGCATGCTGTGTTGTCCACCTGTAACGTACCCACTGCACAGCCCGTTGGGGGGACTGTGTGCTCTGCAAACCCCACTGCTAATGCATCCCTATCGGTGTGCTGCTGTGTGCCGCTGAGTTGGAGCTGACGCACAGCTGATCGTCCGGCGGGTTTTCAGGGCCTTGGTGTTGTGCAGGGGTGGGAGGGTACTGCCATCTTTCTTCCAGTGATATAGCTGATGGGTTTAAACCGCATGCCTCAGGGTTTGCGGGACAACTCCTTATCCACTAGGCCACAGAGCCGGATGGTCGTGTTGTAGAACACGGGCAGGCAGTCAGGCTGGCATGAGGTCGCAGGAGAGCAGGGTGGGTCCCCATCCAGTGTGATCACTGCGACTTGTCAGGTGCGGCCAAGCCAGCGCTATCACAGCCGTCGTCCATCGGACAACAGATTGAACTTGTCAGCCCCTGGGCTGTGCTCACAGCCACCACCGTGTGCAAGGCCTCTGCTGCAGTCACTGTGTCCATCTGCCTCCTTGACGGCCTCCCTCTCCTCCTTCCTCTGACCTGCCACCTTTCCAAGGATGATGTTCTTTTCCAAGGTGCAGCCCCTCCTTACAACACGCTCGGAGTATGTGAAACGCACGTTCAGTCAGCCTTGCCTCTACGGGGCACTCCGGTTACAATTCCTCCAGGACACACTTCTCTCTTCTTCCGGCTGGCTGTGGTATATAGTCAGTATTCTTCAGCAGTGCCGCAATTCAAAGGCATCAATCCTTCTTCGGCCTTTGGTAATCATTGTTTAACTTCCAAATGGATACAGAGCAACTGAAAATAGCACAGCTTGGATCAGGTGCAAGGTTAAAACCAGTATCTGTACACCCATGTTTACTGTGGCTTTGTTTGCAAGAGCAGAGAGCTGGAAACAACCCAAGAGCCCATCAACAAATGAATGGATAGAGAAGCTGTGGTAAATTCACAAAATGGAATACTACACAGCACTGAAAAACAAGGAACTCATAAAATATGCAAAATCGATGGCCCTGGAGGACTTTATGCTGAGTGAAATATCTCAGTCACAAAAGGACAAATATTGCATAGGGCCACTTTTGTAAAATGGGACAGATATCAGGGTTGAGGGAAGACAGAAAAGGAGGGGAGCAACGATGTATATTGCATTAAAAGAAATGAGGGAGAGAACTGTTTAAAAGGGGTATATGATTGGGTATTATTGTCATGACAGGGGTCCAGAGTGAAGGCTGCACAGTGGAGTGGACTTGGAGGGGAAGGAATGCATAACAATGAAAGAGTTTTTCTTTTTCTCTTCAAGGAGAAGAGTGAATTACAGGGGAAGAGGTGGGCAGGGAGAAAAGTGCAACAATGAATGACTGGAAATCCTAAGTCTCTGTAAACTTTCATTAAAATTAATTTTAAAAAGCCAACAAAAAAACCCCATTTAAAAAACAGAAGAATCATGGAAAAAAAAAACCACAACCACAAAATAACAAACCCAGTATCTATGCTCTTTAGCATTTTAAGGATGTCCCTGATAGCAGATTTCCCCCCATATGATTTGTGTCCTTAAGAAAAATAAAGAAGATACAGATAAACATGCAGGGATGGCCTCGTGAAGACGCAGCAGGTCGAAGTGAAGCGCGGACAAGCCAAGGAACGCCTGGGGCCCCGGCAGCTGGCAGGGACAAGGACGGGCCTGCCCCGGAGCCTTCGGCAGGAGCCCTGGCCCTGTGGGCACCTCGATTCCGGACTTCTGTCCTCCGGACCCGTGAGAGAATGGATTCCTGCTGCATACAGAGCATCTTCATAGCAGCTCCAGGAACTGCAGAAATCCCAGACTCTTCTCACTGCCGTGTTGGACGCAGATGATGGCGCTTCGTCTCACAGACTTTGGACGTGCTGTTGGGAGAGGTTCTTCCTTGGAGAGGGACATCTTGCTTGGGAAAGTGGAGAGATGGTGAAGGAGAGGAAGACCCTCAACCTGGTGGGCAGTGACTGCAGCAATGGGCTCCGGTCCATCACAGGACAGGACAGGGCTCAGATCTGCTGTTCACGGTGTCACTCTGAATCATACTCAAGAACACCTGACAACAACAAGAAGCAGCAACATGTCAAAGAGCGAGAGACGAAGCTTTGCCCCTTGCCTCCAAGGGGGCACCTCTGCCAAGGCCTGTCTCTATTCCTGACGTGGGTGCAAAGACTAGACGAGCAGGAAAGCAGAGCGTGACAGAATCGTCTAGAAGGACAAAGCTGGGTTAGGCACAGTTCGGTCACAACAGAACTCAGTAGGTCTGGTCTGCACCACCACCACCACCATCAGCAGCAGCTGCATCACCACGGCTGACATGTTGACCCATCTCATAAGGTTCTCCCAAACAGCGGGGTCTTCTGTAGCACTGCTGCATGTCGGGTGTTCACTGGCTGGTTTTTAGGTGTCGCTTTCCAGGCCTTTCTTCCTGGTGCCGCAGTCCAGGAGTGCTGGTGAAAGCTGTGCACTGCGGCGACTGGTTGGTGTCTGATGGGCAGTGCAGCTTCCCCCTCCACACACCCCACAGCCACACGCAGGCCCCCCAAGCAGCTTCCCCACCTCACAGCCACATACAGACCCCCTACAGCAGCTTCCACAGCTCACAGCCATACACAGGCCCCCACAGTGTGGCCTGCTGACGGGGGGTGGAGGGGTGGGGAGGACGGCACCACAGTGAAATAAGTGTTTCCTTTTTCTGCACCATCTTTCTGCGACCCTGTCATCTGGCCCAAAGTCCTGCACCTCGTTCCAAAGCGCATATGAAAAGCCTGAGCCTCTGTTGTGAGGCCGGTTGGCCAGTTTCAAGGAGGGGAGCTGAGTTTGGAAGTTCCTGCTTTCTGGTGACAGAGGAAGAGTGTGTCACGAATGCTGGACAGTCAGGGTATCTGTGTGGTCAGAGGAAAATGCAGAGATGCAAACGGACCAGCTCCTTCCCTACCCACTCCCTGTGGCTACTGGGGGCCTCACGGCTTTCCAACTGCTTGGAGGGGCTGTGATGATGTCTTTGCCTTCTTTTTTCACGTCTTACTTACTGGCTTGTGATGCCTTCTTGGAGGTGAAGGAATCAGCTGTAAATGCTCCAACTCTCTGCCCACTTGTAGTGAACCCCTGGAACGCAGCCGGCCTTCCAGGCACCTGGCACCTGAGCCTTTCTCTGAAGAGCTGGCCCTCGGGTCTCAGTGTCCTGCCATCCCGAGATGGCACGAGCAGACCTTCGAGGAAGCTCGGTCAGTTTGCATGCGGCCTCCACACCTGCCTTTCTGGGGCCACGCGTCTGTGGGGAGCACCCCTTCTCACATTTGTGTTTTGTAACCCTCATAGCTGGAAACGGTCAGCATCCACAGTGGTGTCTATCACGTGATTTGTAGTAGCACTGACTCCCAGCGAGGCCCTGCGGGCTAGAACGGAGCTTCACAACGACCAGGCTAACTGACTGCAGGATCCCAACAGAGCCACAAACCGCAGATCCGTGGCACCGCTGTTAACTGTCTCACAGCCAAGGAAGCCAAGCCGTGGCAGGTGGCCAGGGACTCGGCCTAGACAAAGAGCTGGAAGTCACACGCACCCTCCCACCACCTTGCTGTTAACCCCCTATTACAATGCTCCCCGTGTCCTCTGCCCCGGGTTGGGGGGCCCTGCACTCTCCACGGGATGGCCCTCGGGGCCAAGATGTTTCTAGGAGCGTGGGCAGGCTGGGACGTGGGAGATGATGGTCATCTGCTTCAGCAGCTGCTGGTTTAACTAGCCCACCTAGTCAGGGCCACCAGGCCGTCCTCCAAGAACCTGTTAGCAGAGTCGCTGCCAAGTTCAATTCTGAGTCATGACCCAGGTGAATATCAGGGGGTTCTCAGTGGCCACTCCTTCTAACAAGCCCCCCAGGCCTTTCTCTCAAGGGCCTCAGGCTGGACTTGAAACCACAACCTTGGGATTTAGCAGCCTAATGCATTAGCCAGTGCACTACCCAGGGCTTCCAGCTACAGGTAATTCGTACCTGACAAGTACACCCTGAACACGGATGACAGTGGTGGGGTACCTGAGGGCACTGGTGTGCCTACACTTAGGCATTGGGGCAATGCTCTACCGAGAAGACAGCTCAGGAGAGGCAGGGGCCGAGGCCTGTCCGCTTCGTGGGGGCCTGGTGCCCAGAGGGGGCTGCCTGGGAGGGGCCGGGTGGGTGCACTTACTTCCCCATACTGGGATGTCCCTACTCTCTGCTTTCATCACGATGGACGACATGGTCATGGTCACGGGGATGGCATCGAAGTACGAGGAGTGTGGGGCCAGGGTGAGGATCGCGGCCTCAGTGGGCAGCGCCTGCCGCCCCTTCACGGCCACTCGGTGGAAGCCGCCGGCAAACCACATGGTCCGCATGATGGCCTTGAGCAGGAAGTCCACCACCCTGCAAGAGAAAGGGAGTGTGAGCCAGGGGCCAGGTGGTGAGGGTGGGCTTGCCATGCCCAGGGGCTAGGCACCCTACCCAGGGGCCAGGTGGTGAGGTGCCCTACCCAGGGGCCAGGTGGTGAGGGCGGGCTCACCATGCCCAGGGGCCATGTGGTAAGGTATAGGCCCAGGCACCCTACCCAGGGGCCAGGTGGTGAGGTACCCTACCCAGGGGCCAGGTGGTGAGTGGGCTCGCCCTGTCCAGGGGCCAGGTGGTCAGGTGCCCTACCCACAGGCCATGTAGTGAGGGTGGGCTCATTATACCCAGGGGCCAGGTGGTCAGGTGCCCTACCCACAGGCCATGTAGTGAGGGTGGGCTCATTATACCCAGGGGCCAGGTGGTCAGGTGCCCTACCCACAGGCCATGTAGTGAGGGTGGGCTCATTATACCCAGGGGCCAGTTGGTAAGGTGCAGGGGCCAGGTGGTGAGGTACCCTGCCCAGGGGCCAGGTGGTGAGCAGGCTCACTCTGCCCAGGGACCAGGTAGAGAGGTGCCCTGCCCAGAGGCCACATGATGAGGTGCCTTGCTCAGGGGCCAGGTGGTGAGGTGCCCTGCCCAGGGGACAGGTGGTGAACCAGCTCGCTCTGCCCAGGGGCCAGGTGGTGAGGTGCCCTGCCCAGGGG